CTCTGCCCCCGCGCCTTCTTCCGGTCTGCCGTCTGTCCGAGGCACAGGATCTGCGAGGCAACACAGCAGTTAACACGAGCTGGCACATGCCGACACACATACAAACACCGCGGGAGATCCCTTTCGTTGCCTCTCCCGCGAACGAGCGGGAACACCCGCGCACGCGAGACCCAGGGCTGGCAACAGTCCATTTATTCTGGAACTCAAGGACAAAGCGGATTTGGAGAAAGAAAGACAGAGAGAGGCAGACAGAGTGGACGTGCTCGCGCAGGCGGAATATGCCCGGCAGACATGCATACACACATGGCAGAGCAGGAAATGGGGAGAGGAGGGGAAGGGAGCGAGGGCAAGGGCGAGAACGCGTAGCCCCCTTGCTTGGCTGGCCTGTATACGGGGGTGTCCATCACCAGCCAGCGGCAACATTCTAGTTGTGCCCCGAAAGCGTGCAAGACACGCACGATGGGCGCGGGATGCCCCCCGGTCGCCCCTTCCTACGCGGGGGCGCTGCTGCCAGGGGATGCCGATTCGGAATCGGTCTGGCTGACGCCCTCGCCGGAGAGATCACTTGACTCCTGCTCCTCGGCCGCCACAGCATGCGCCGGCCAGTCGAGAGGGACAGAGGGCATGCCACCTGGCAGGGCATCCGCATCGTTGGCCGAGGCACTGTCATCCGGGCCGCCGGGCGGGCCTTCATCGCTCGAGACACGGGCCTCAGGATTGATCGAGTCGTTCCCCCCCCCGGAAGGGGTCTCGGCGAGCGGCTGATCGTCGGCCAAGGGGTGGTCCGTCACTTGGGCCACATGTCCCTCGGCCGGGGTGGGACTCGGGCCTCGGGCATCGTGCCCGGGGGTGCTCTGAGCACCAGCATCTCCAGGTCCAAAGTCCTCACCACGATCGGAGCCCTCGCCGGCGGGCAGGCCGGTGCCCGGGGAGTCCCCACAGCCAGTGTGAAGCTCATCTGCCGCACCTTCCGCCGTGGCAGCCGTCACCCGGGAAGCAGGGGCAAAAGGCCCGGGCGATGGGGGCTCTTGATGAGGGGCGGCGGCCACCACACTGACCGGAGCGGTCGCATTCAGGGGGGTCGACGGTGCTGGCAGGGTAACCTGAGCACCAACTGGTGCCGGGTCAGCTTCCGGGGACATGCGGATACTCTCAGCAGAAGTGGCCGCGACGGTGGCGCCGACCGTGGTCATGGGCAGGGCAAGGGCTCCGGCAGTTGGCGATGTTGGTTGGGGGTCCTCCCGGGCAGCAGTCGGTGCTGGCCCCGCCTGCCAATGTGCGGAGATGGTCGGAGAGCCTGTTGTGGATGGGGTCGAAGCCGGGGCCGGGGCGGCGACAGGGGCCGCGGCCGGAGCCCACCGCCGACGAATGGCCGGAGCTCGATCATCGGCGACGCGGTCCGCTGCGGCTAGCACGACGCCCTCCAACCCAGCAGGGGCAGCCCTCCGACCGGGATCAGCTCCAGCGGCAGCGTCAACAGCCGGGGCGACTGGGGCAGCCGGGGCAGCAGCCGGGGCAGCAGCCGGGGCAGCGACAGGACCCTGGCGAGCGCCCGCACCAGCCCGCGCCCGGCCGGGACGTCCGGCATTCTGGGCGGGGTAATCATTGTCCGGCAGGAGTGCTGCCACAAAGTGCACCACAATCCGAGCCGCCGTACGGGCAATGTGTGCCACCAGAGGCTCCGGAGGAGGGATGGCCGCCCGAGCATCAGCCGCGCGGCGGGTCAGGTCTGAAGGGTCGGGCCGCGGACCACGCGCCGGAGCGGCCCGAGGCTCGGGGGCGGGGTGCCCCGGGTCGCGGCCATCCGTGCCGGGTTCATCATCGACGGCCACGGCAGCCTCAGCCACAGCGGCCTGAGCCGCAGCAGCCTCAGCCACGGCAGCCTCAGCGGCCGCGGCCGCGGCCTCGGCGTTCGCCCGGGCCGCTTCGCGCTCCCGCACCGGCCGGTCCAGCATGGCCGCCACCCGGCGAATGATCCACACCAGTGGCGAAAGGCCGCTGAGGGAGGGTGCGCATGCGCGCGCACACGAGCGCGAGGGGCCGAGGGCAATGTCAGTGCCAAGGAGGACACCGGCACGATGGCGGCGCGGGAAAAAAAAGAGGAGGAAGAGGCAGCGAAGGAAGAGGAGGAAGAAGGAGCGACGGCATGTCGGTACCCGATCAGCCAGTACGGCTTGTAGGACACCATGTCCCAGGTGAAGTAGATGAGGGCCAGAGGGATGAGCAGCAGCAGCAGCTGCAACAGAAGTCCCGGTACACGGATGTGGACTTGGACCTCGTGCACACGCGGCACATCCGGCGGGGCATGGCCTTCGGCAATCCGGTCCACCACTTCCTCCAGCAAATCCCCGACCCGGGCTTCCAGGATCTGGTTGCGGTTGCCGATGAACCGCAGCAGCTCGATCATCTCCACGCTGGCCTGCGGACTCTGGAGCAGAGCCACGCTCGGGTTCTCGACCAGCCCGGCAAGCGAGGGGAAGTGCTGACGGAGGATGTTCCGCCGGTCGGCGGCCATCTCGATGCGCCGGCGCCGGCGCCGGCGCCCGGTCCGGGCGTCGGCCAGAGGACCCGGCTCGCTGGCCGGGGCGTCCGACTCCTCGATGTCCGCCATATCCCCGCTGGGGCCATGCGAGTGCGAGTGCGAGTGCGAGTGCGAGTGGCTGTGCGAGTGCGAGTGCGAATGGCCGTGCGAGTGCGAGTGGCTGTGCGAGTGGCTGTGCGGATGGCCCATCAGATAGTGCGGCCGGTCCATGAAGGTGGCCATGCTACCGAAGTAGTATGGGCGCCGGCGGCGATAGGGTGTCCCGGAGGAGGGTGCCGCCATTTCCAGGGCATAAAGCGTGCCACTGTCGAGGGGGCAGGGAGGAGGAGGAGGAGGAGGAGGAGGAGGGGGGGCCAGAGAAGGATGGCCACACATATGTGAGACACGGAGCTCTGTTGGAGTGGGAGAGGGAGGAGGCGGAAGAGAGAACAGAGGGAGGAAGGCAAGCAGCTCGTACTTGACCATCACCACATTCAGCGGGTCCTGCTCGCCGATGGCCGGGATCGAGTCGTCAGCAGGGGTGACAGCCGGTGGGGGGACGGCCGGGGGCGAGTGAGGCGTCGACAGCGGGGCGGCCGCCTCGAGGGGCGGAGCGGCAGCGATGCCAGGGGCCTGGTCAATCGCGATGCTGGCCGATGGAAGAGCGCCGGACCCCGAGGAGGGCAAGGTGCTTGGGGGCCGACTGGCGGCATCGCCGGACACGAGACCACCAGTGTCGCCGGGAGTCGGGTCGCTGCTGGGGCTGGCGGCTGCCAGGCCTGGTGACCGGTCTTCCGTCGAAACAAGTGGGCTGGATTGGCCATCGCGAGAGGGGCTGCTCTTCAAGAAGCTATCGAGCCGGCAGGCGGCCGCCAGGAAGGTCGACGTCGGATCGCGGACATGCAGCTGCAGGGTCGGCGCGCCGACCGACAAGTTCAAGGTCGACTGGTGGACGTGCGACAGCAGACAGCCGAGCGGGCATCCGCGCGAGGGTTAGCCTAAGGGGACGGGCGAGACCGGCGGATAGTCCCCCCCCCCCCCCCCCCTCGCCCTTTGGGCACAGGAAAGAGAAGGACCACAGGACAGGGGGCCATGCAACGGACCTCGGAAATCGAATCGGCCACCATCTCCGAGTCCCGGAAGAGGCGGCCACCAAAGAGCAGCGTGGATCGTTCGGCCATCAACAGCAGGGAGTCCACCTGCTCCGAGGGGAGATCCTGCGCGACCAGGGCCCGGTTGAAGGGGACAATCACAAATACCGGGAAGGCTGATGGCGAGCCGCCCTCGGCCAGGTTGGCCGCGAAGGAGGACACCGCCAACAGGGCCTGCCGGCGCAGGTCCAAGGAGCTGGCATCGCGCGAGACCATGAAGCGCACGGTGAAGTCACTGGGAGCCGGGGGGGCCCCAAGGTCGGGCGAGGAGCCGCGGCTGGCGTCCGCCGACATGGCAGTGCCGTGGGCGTTTGGCGAGGTGAGGCCCCCCTCCACCGGGGAAGAGGGGGTGGTTTGCGCGGCGCCAATCACATAGCGGACCTTCACCCGAGCAAAGGACCCAGGAAAGGCGGGAAGATCACCGGCGACCGATTGCGCCGGGCGAGCGCCGGCCGCGGTGTCACTGGCCGGCATTCTGGAGAACAGGAGGGGGGGGGGGAGGGGGAGGGGGGGAGGAGCGAGCCAGAAGCAGGGGAGGAGCGGCGGCGAGGGGGGGAGGGAAACTCGAGAGAAGGGGAGCCCAGAGAGTAAGGCAGGGGAGGGGGCGGGGGGGGCAGGATGGGATGCCCAGAGAAGGGCGAGGGCAAGGGCACCCGAGAGGAAGGATGTGGGGAGTGCGAGTTGGGATGGGTGGCCTGCCCGGTCTCCAGCCTGGACGCTGCCCGTCCCGAAAAGGGGCGACACGATCGCCCGCCCAACTTGGCTAGGCTGGGCGAGGGCCGACCAACCGGACTGGCGGTTTTAGTGTCTCGCCTTGGCCGGTGGGCCGCCGTCCAGTTGTCCACAAGGGAGGGATAACATAGGCTGGGCAGCCTGCCCCCGTCCAAGTCCTTCGGAGCATGTCTCTGTCTCTCTCTCTCTCTCTCTCTCTCTCTCTCTCTCTCTTTTGTGTCTCTTTGTTCTACCTCTTTCCTGTGCCCCCCCGCCCCCCCCCCCCCGTCCCCGGGCATCGCCAATCGAGCGGTGGTGACCCCCTGCCGGGTTGTTCTAGGGCATCCCCGGGCGGCGGCAACAGTAGCAGCAGCGGCTTCGGCCGCTACCCATTTGGGACACGGGCCGACACATTTACGCCGAAGAGTCAGCTGACTGTCACGAGACCCCAGCACTGCCGAATTTCCCGCGGCCCGCGGCCATCCCCGACCATCGGCCAGTGCGTGTGCGCGTCCGGGCGAGCAGGGGGCGCCCCATCGTCTGGGCCGCTTTGCTCCTCATGCGCGCTCTGTCTCCCTTCCCCAGCGCCCGCCCCCCACCCGCATGGTGGCAATCCGTGTGCGAGGCCCCCCCCCTCCCCCCCCCCGCGCCAGGCCACAAGCCAGCTAGTGGCCAACAGGGACCGATCGGGAGCCGGGACGGCCCCGGCGACCAACGAACGGCGTTGCATCCCACCTCGCTCTCTGCCCCTTCTCGCGCGTCTTCATTCCGCTTGCCATCTCCTCCACCAGAGCACCCCCTTCCTTTCCTCTTTGCTCTCTCTCTCTCTCTCTCTCTCTCTCTCTCTCTCTCTCTCTCTTTCCTTCTCTCCCCTCCTCCTCCCCCTTAGCCAACCGTCACTCCTGTCGACGCAAAAGCGCCACGATGGGCAAGTGGACCGACAAGAATTACATCACTGCCTCCGAGTGGCAGCGGGACTTTCACGGCGCCAAGAAGCTCTCCTCGACCCGCGAGAGCGAGGCGGCCGAGCGGCCACTTCCCTTTGGCTGCTGTTCGCTGAGCTTGCGCCCGGTGGACGGGATTCCGGCCAACACGGTGTGCACGCCACAGGGGGATATCTTCGAGCGTCGGTGCGTCTTCATCGTCAATCGAGCATCACCGGGTGGGGCAGAAACAATGGCCTTGGCGCGCATGCGGGCGTGTGCGCGTGTGCGCGTGTGCGCCTGCTTGACACTCACCCCCTGTCTCCATTCATCCATCCATCCATCCATCCATCCATCCATCCATCCATCCATCCATCCATCCATCTCTCTTTCCCTATCTCTCGATCCTCCTTTCTTTCTCTCGCCCCCTCTCGCTCCCCTCTCTTCCCCCTCCCCTCGTTTGCCAGCCTCATCCTGCGATTCATTCGCCAGCATGGACGCAACCCCGTCTGTGGGAGCCCCCTGCATCCCAATCAGCTGCACCCGCTGAGCCTACACCGAGTGGCCCTGTCATCGGCCCCGTTGGCGGCCATCCAGACATCCACGTCGCAAGTGCGCGATGAGGGGGCCCGCATCGAGGGGGTTTTTGGTGACCCGGTTGTGGAGAAGTCTTTCACCGCCGGGTCGACCATTGTGGCGGTGGTGTGCGGCCTGTCCGCCAGCTCCCCCTCTGGCGGTCGGTCCGAAAAGCAGCAAGTTCGCCGTGCCATGGAGGCGGCGGCGGCCGAGCTGGCCGCCGAGAAGGCCGCGATGGAGGGTGCTCCCGAAGGGGCCGCCCTGCCGGAGCGTGCCACCGCCGCCACCTCGGCCTGGGCATATGATCGGGCTACGCTGGAGGATCTGTGCATTCGGAATAGCAGCTGGCGCGACCCGCAAACCGATCGGGCCTTCACCCGCGGGGATATGGTGCTCCTGCAGCAGGGGTCCACGACGGCCAGCTACTCGGACGCGGCGGCTCGGCTGACTCGGGCCGCGCCGGTGGCCATGTCCCACGGCGCCGGCTCTTCTGACGATTCGGATGACGAGCCGGCTCCTGAGCCTGCGCCTGTGGACATTCTCACGCGGAAGTTCCCGGCGCGCTTCTGGTGGCGCCAGGAGAAAGTTCCCTTCCAGTTGCTGATTGGTATGTTGTCTCTCGCTTTGTCTTTCCCTCTCTCCCTCTCTCCCTCTCTCCCTCTCCACCCTCTCCCCCTCTCCGCCCTCTCCTTCTCCCTCTCTCCCTCTCTCCCTCTCTCCCTCTCTCCCTCTCTCCCTCTCTCCCTCTGCCTTTGCCTGCTTGTCTGTCTGTCCCCCCTCTCCTCCTTTCTTCAAACTGCCTCTGCCTTATTACACTCCATCCTTGTTCATTGACCGCCCGTCGGTTCACTTGTGCCCCCCGCCCCCCTTCGCAAAGATGACGATGATGACCCGGAGAGCGCCTTCATCAACAAGGCCATCATCCCGGAGAAGATTCGTGCGATCACCGCGCGCGACCGGGTGCTCCCGAGTGTTGGTTCGATTCCCGGCGGCAAGGTACGGCCGGGCGTCCTTCTGTCTTTCCCTCTTCCTTTTGTATTGTTGTTTCACTCGGCACATGGCAACTGTGTGCCAAGCTGACTCCCTGTACGCACCCGGTGCTGTTGCTGCTTCGGGGCGCTCCAGTCGGTCACCCCCTCCTTTGTCAAGCCCACAGACCACGGCCACACGGCGGCACACTTCACCACCGGTGGCCAGGGCGCCTCGCTGACGTCGACATCCGTCGCCCCTCAAACCGAGGAGGTCCGCGTTCACTGGAACGCCGACGACGTGATGTACGACAAGATCCGTGATCCCGGGCTGGTTGATGTGCATGTCGAGGGCCATGGGGTCTTGCGCATCGAGCTCCTCGCGCGATATGCCCCGATGACCTGCCACAATTTCATCCTCCTGGCCAAGGCCGGCAAGTATGATGGGGTTGGCTTCCACCGGTTGATCCGCAACTTCATGGTGCGTCCTATGGTTGTGGGGTTATGGCGTTTGTCCATGTGCTTGGGATCATCCATGACAGGCATCCTCCAGGATGTCCAATTCCGGGCCCGCGAGACCCCTTGCCTTGCGCTGTCGTCACTTCGCTTGCCTTTGCTTGTGGCGCCCTCTCCGCCATGTCTATGGGTCTCAGCCTGCCTGTGCTTTCGCACGTGCACACACACACACACACACACACACACACACTCTAACCCGGGGATGGTCACACACGCGTGCACACATGCGCACAACCGCACACACCGCACGCCGCACGCCTAGATCCAAGGCGGCGACCCGACCGGCACCGGCCAGGGCGGCGAGTCGGCCTGGGGGCCGGATGTCAAAGTGCGCGATGAGTACCATCGGGCTTCGCACTTGTCGCACAATGAGCGCGGTCTCCTGTCCATGGCCCACCCGCCGGGGGAGAAGGATGCCGGCACATCGCAGTTCTTCATCACCCTCAGCTCGGCCTGCACGCACTTGGACCGGAAGCATACCATCTTCGGCCGGGTGCTGGCCGGTTACCTGGTCGATGAGCATGGGGTCCGAACCAGTCCCGATGTCCCGGGCGGCGGGTCCGTCCTGCAGACAATGGAGCGCGTGGCCACCGACAAGCGCGATCGGCCGACCGAAGCGATTGTCATGCGCCGGGTGGTCGTTCGCCGGGATCCCTTCGAGGAGTTCCAAACACGCCATCGTGAGCAGGAGCAGCAGAAGGCCCGCGCCAAGGAGGAGCAGGAGCGGGTATGTCCCGAGGATGCGGCGTCCTCCCCCCCCCCCCCCCCCCCCCTTTTGCCCCGGCTGCCTCGCCCTTGCGTTGGCCCCTCCCTTTCCCCTCCCGCTGGCCATTGACATACGCAACCACCCCTGTCCACCGCTTCCCTCGGACTTCCCTGTCGGCCGGGCGCCCGGTTGCTTGGCGTGCAGATGGAGCGCAATCGAAAGCGCGTGCGCCCGGAGGCGCGCCCAGGTGCCACGGCCCAAACAATTGGCCGCTTCATCAGTGCGGCCACGGCCAAGTCCCTGCGCGTTCTGCCGGGAGGCGGGTCGGCCTCCGGGACGGCGACCCTTGTCCGGCCGCCGTCGGATGGCTTTGTCGAGCCGAGCCAGGCCCCAGCCAAAAAGCCTCGGTCCGGCCTGTCTGGCTTGTCAGACTTTTCCTCCTGGTAGGGTCCCAGCGTGCCTGCCCCCCCTTGCCGTCCGTGCGCGTGGGACCCCCTCCCCCTTCTTCTGTCCTCCTCCCTTCCCTCTTGCCTTTTTCTCTCCCTCCCAACCAATGCACCAATATCCTGAGAAGGCCTCTTCCGTGTATAGGGCGTGCCGGCCTTTCTAGACGCACACACACACACACACACACACTATCTTGTCATTACCCCCTCTTCCTCTTGAAGCCTCCCTCTCTGCCACTGTGCCCGGCTGTGTCTATGTGTGTGCGCGTCCAGACGCGTGCCGGTGTGTGAACCTCTTCCCCCCCCCCCCGGAGGCAGCGGCGGGCTCTACACATGTCTACATTCTCTATTGTCTAATGGTCCGGGTGCATGCATAGCTCTCATGGACGCACGCACGCACACATACGCACGCACGCTCGCACGAGCGCACATATGTGCACACAGCCTCTCCTTTTTACTCTTTCTCTCTCTCTCTCTCTCTCCCCCTCTGTGTCGTCTTATATCAAAAAAGCAGTGGCAAAATCTTTTGCGGACCCGGGCCCTTTCTTCCCCCCGCTCGCATGTCCCTTCACGACTCAGCAGAGGGGGCCACGCGCGCGCGCACGGCACCGACCTCCGTCTATGGTCGGGAGATCGCATGTGCGCGCGCATGCACTCCGGCATATAAGCCATGTGTTCCTCCACAGAGTGCAGGAGACAACGTCGAGGTGGGCATCGCGCGGGGGGAAGAGGCGGAGGGGGGGCGCATGCCGACAAGCGACGCGGAGAGGAGCCCATGCCGGGCGAGCGGGCGGGTGAACGGGTAGGAGGATGATGCCCGCCTGCATGTGGCTGGCCATCTCTCTCCTCCCCCCCCCCTCCCCCCCGCTCCCCTCGCTCGTCATCCCCATGCAGGATATGACTATGGCTGTCTACGCACACACACTGTCGCCTGTCAGCGTGCGCGCGCACATGCACAAGGGGCTCTTCTTCCCCCGGTGCTTATCGTCGTGTGCGTGGTCTTTTCTCGCGCGGATCGCCGTGTCACGGGGGTGGTGTTCTCCCCTTCTATCCGCCGTCTGGGTCGCTTTTGGCCCGCCTTCACATGTGGTCCCCCCCCCCAGGGGACCAGTGAAGTCCCGCGGATCGGGAAGGGGGGGGGGGACAAGAGGGACGAGTCACTCCGGCGACTGGGATGCCGGGCGCACGAGCCAGCCCTTGGAGCTAATCATCTCCGGAGCACGGGGAATGGCCACGATGATGCTGGTGGAAAAGCGCCGCCGGGCAGCCGCGCCGAAGGCCCCGCCCACATGGCGCTGCACATGCTGGGGCTTCACCTCGGGCAGCTGGATCTCCAGGGCAATGGACGACCCATCGCCGAAGGGGTCTTCGTCGTCGTCGTCGTCGTCCTGCTCGTCCTCTTCCTCATCGCGAAGGCTGGCCATGATCGGGGCCGGCGGTGGGGGTGCATATTGGGGCAGGCTCAGGCCGATGGGTTCCGGATCGAAGGGGGTCGAGCTGAGCGGCAGCGTCCGGGGCCTCGGCGATGTGCCGCCATCGCCGCCACCATCGGCTCCCGGGGCCGGGCCGCTCGGGGCCAGGGTGGCGGCTCTGCGTGGCGGCGAGTCGTCGACGGCCACACCCTGGCCTGGCGCCGACCGCGATGCATGGAGGAAGAAGAAAAACTCCTCAGCGACGGGGCTCTCCCCACGACCGATGGACTCCTCGACTGGCCGGTCTGCTTGCCGCTGCTGCTGCTGCTCCTCGTGGTGGTCATTTTCCACCTCCTCCTCGCTGTCGCTGAGCAAGTGGCTGGATAGCAGACCGAAGCCGAAGGACATGGCCGAGGCCAGGTTCGGAATGGCCGGCCTGGTGCGCTGCGTGTTTACCACCATGCGCCGACGTGCTAGCCGGGCGGCCGACGCCCCGGTGCCGGAGGTGGCCGTGCTGGTGCCGGCATTGTCAGCTGCCGCGAAGACGGCCGCCGCCCGGACGGACACCGGCACCGGCGTCACCGTGGCATGGGTCCCGGCGGGGGTCACCGCCGCCGCCCCCCGGCACGGCCCGCCGGCCGAGGGGGATTCCTCGGCCAAAGTGGCCAGTCCCTGCGGGGAGAAGGAGCTCGCGCGGCGGGAGGAGCTGCGACTGCTGCCGGCGCTGCCGCCGGCACCACCCACGACCCCGGTGGCCGAGAGGTCCCCCCCGGAGGAGAAGACATTCTCATAGTCACTGTCGTAGGCAAAGTCCATGGCATCCTCCCAGTCGTAGTCGTGATAGTCTGCCAGCGAGGCGCTGGACTCGTTGGTGCGCGAGGGGCAGTGCGATGACATTGAGGCCGATGACTGGCGCCGGGGCGGCATCATCATCACCATCTGTCGAGCCGCGGTGACGGGCGGCCCCGGGCTGCTGGCGGTGGTTTGGTGCTCGTCATGCAGCAGCAAGGGCAGGGCCTCCTCATCGTGGAGGTACTCCTGCTGCTGGCGGAGGAGGCGCAGCAGAGCATCTCCCTGGTGGTGGTCCTCGGCCGGGTCGGCCAGGTCGGCCGGGGCCCGGAAGGGGTTGGAGTTGGAGATGATCCGCGTCACGCGACAGGGGCCGGCCGCCGCGGCCGAGAGCAGCGCCGGCCCACCGAAGCTGCGGCCAGGCGCAGCACGATGCCGGTGCCCGGGAGAAACCGCACTGCGCGCGTCCCGAGCCGTCGTGATGCGGGTCACCACGGCCATGTCGGCCCCAGCGTACCCCTCATGCGGGGCGTCCTCGTGCGCTTCCTCCGCCTCGGTGGCCGTCAAATGGACAAAGCCAAAGGAGGCGCCTGGCCGGGCCTGGCCCATGTCACCTGTGGCGGTGGTGGTGGTGGTGGCGGCGGCAGCCGCGGCCACAGCAGCGGTGTTCCACTGCTCCGGGTCGAAGTCGTCCTCCGAGTCGAGGTCCAAATCGGAGAGGGCCTCCAGCCGCGGGGCCGCCGGCGGGGCGTCCGTATCTTCGCCGTCGGGCCGGTCCGCCGGCGCCAGTCCACCGGCACGGGCGGTCTGGCCGGGCGCCGCATCCGGCGATGACCGCGCCTCGAAGGTGGCAACCAGCGGCGCCAGCAGCAGGTGGTCGGTGGTGACGCTCGGCAGGCCTCCTCCCACTGGGGCGCCCTCGTGCGGCTGAAAGAGCGGGTTGTGGAACACCTGCACCCCGGCGCTTGGCCAGAGGCCGAAGGGCTCGGTGGTGGCATGGTGGTTCTCCTCCTCCTCCTCCTCCTCCTCCTCCTCGTCCTCCGGCGCATCTTCTTGTTCCTCCAGGCCCTGTCTGCCCTGTGCTTCGTCCCCGGGCTGGCCGTCGTCGGCGGTGACATCGGCGGCGCCGGTGCGGCGACCGATGATGGTGCCGGGCGACCCGTCCCGGGGCGACGGGTCCGGCAGCAGGTCCTCCCGGCTACCCTCGAGCGACGTAGAGGCCGTCGAGGGCGATGGGCCCAGCCAAACGGTCGGCCAGCTGTCATGGTGGTGGTCGCCATCATCGCTGCTGCTGCTGCTGCTGCTGCTGCTGCTGCTGCTGCTGCTGCTCATACTGCCATGGGGATGGGTGGTCCGTTGGTGCGCCAGGGCCGGCATCCCGCCGGCCGGCCCCAGGATGCGTGCATCGTCCAGCCACAGCGGCTGCCCAAGGGCCAGGGCATTGCGCAGGGTGGCCGACGACTCGGCCAGGCCGCCGGCGGCGGGCCCCCCGCGCCGGGAGGCCACTGGCAGCAGTGACGCCGGGCGGGTGCCACTCCCGGGGGATTCCTGGCCGGTGGTGAAGCCGAAGCTCCTGTGGCTGCTTGCGGCCGGCGGCGCGCCGACCGTGGTGCCTCCTCGGAGTGCGCGCTCCAGCGGCCCCGCCGGCAGGACATGAAGCGCCTGCTCCTCCTCCTCCAAGGCCAACAGCCTCAGGGGCGGGGGGAAGCTCGCCGACCGAGCCGGCATACCTCCAACCGGGGCGGCAGCGGTGTCAGCCCCGAGGGCCGGAGTGGTCAGCAAGTGGATTTGCCCCGCGCCACCGGGCACCAGGTCCAGTAGAGACGAGGCGTCGGGGGCGGTGGTGGTGGTGGTAGTGGCGGCGGCGGCGGCGCCGGCAGCAGTGGCAGCCGCGGCGGTGGCGGCGGCGGCGGCGACAGCGACAGCGGCGGCACTACCGCCGGCGCCGTGCGCGGCTGCATCCTCGACCGTCGGGCCGGCTGTCGCCGAGGCAGGGGTCGGCAGGATCGGCGTCCGCTCCAGGGTGCTCACCTCGCGCTCGATATCCAGTGACCACTGGAGAACCATTTCGCTGAGCATGCTTTCGAAGGAGACCCCCCCTGCTGGAGCACCGGCCATGGTGGCTGCGGATGCCGTGGCAGCGGTGGCCCCGCCACGCAACCCGCCCACCGGCGGGAAGGGCCGCGCGGTGGTCGGATGGATGGCCGACCGCAGAGACCCGGCGGCGGCCTGCTGCTGTTGTTGTTCTTGCTGCTGCGGTGGCGACGGCGGCAGCATGCGTCCGCCTGCGGCGCTGTGGGGGACAGTGGCCCAGCGGTGGTCGAGCGGCACGACATACGTGGGGTCCCGTGTGACCGCGGTCCATTGGCCGACCTGCGGACGGTGGCGCTGTGACGCCATGGATGGGGTCACCCCGCCCCAGGGCCACCAATTCCGGCGCGCGGGTGCCTGCGAGGCCGTGGTCGAGGCCGCACCCGGGGCCGCGCCGGACAGCGATCCGGCTGTGGTCGCGGCGGGGGTGGGAGAGGCGGCGGCTGCACCGGCGGCGGGCCCAACACCCTCACCCCCATTGTCCTCATCATCATGGCCATCCTCGCACTGGACCCCGAAGCTGAGCCAGGGCGCACGGTGGCCACTGCCCGAGGAGGGGGCGACCTGCACGCCATCGGCGTGGGAGGCGCCGGCAATGCGGTCGGCAAATGTGCAAATCGAGGCCGTGCTCCATGCACCCTGGCCGGCAGCGGCATGACCATCGCCATCCTTGTCATGGTCACCCCCACTGTGGGCGGACCCGATGCTGGCCGGAGCCCAGTGGTCGTTGTCCGGGCGCAGCAGTGGCTGCTGCTCCTCCGGCGTGCCGGGGCCCCACCATGGTGACTGCCGAACGGAAAGCCGGCTCGGCTGGCCGCCGGGCCGAATCCCAGCGCGGTGGTTCGAAGCCCGGACGTCATCATCATCATCATCATCATCATCGACCGGGCACAGGCGTGGTGCACGGGGCGGGCTGCTGGGCCCCTCCGGCTCCTTTTCCTCCGGCGTGCGGGGCCTGGCGCCTGGCGCCGGCGACAAGAGGGTCATCCGCTCCAGCTCGGCCACCAGCCGGGCCGCCTGGGCCACCAAGTTCGTTGTTTGGGCCCAGGTCACGGGTGTTGGCCGGCGAACGGCCGCGGTGGTGGCGCTGGCGGCGCTGGCGGCGGTGGCAGCCACCGAAGCCGGACGCATCAGCGGCGCCAGGGTGGCCTGCAGCATGGCCACCACATCGGCCTCGGCGGGGGCGGCCAGGTGGGGCCGGGCCGGGGCGCGGGTGGTGCTGTCTGTCGGCCGGGCACTTGGCGGCGAGACCGCCTGCACCGGGGCAGTCAGCGGCGAAAGGATGAAGGCCTCCTCCGGGGGGAGGTCTTCGGGGTGCTCGGCGATGTCGTCCTCTTCGCTGTCGCCGCCCTGGGGCAGCTGCTCCAGGTGTGCCGGGTGCTGGGCCGCGTGCAAATGGGGCCGGCTGGCAGCACGGCCACCAGCCACCAGCTCCCCCCCGCACGCACGGCCGGAGCCCCCACGGACAAACACCTCCGGCCACCAGTCGGACTTGTGGCACAGCTCCAGCGGCTGGGCCGGCGGCTCGGCCCTGGCGGCTGGCAGGGGTGGCGCCGGCGCCAGCGGCACCACCGGCGGGAAGGTGAACCCGGCGGCTCGGACAAAGGCCGAAAGGGACTCCTGCTGCTGCTGCTGCTGCTGCTGCTGCCGGTGCTGGTGCACTGGCGGTGGCGACCGGGCCGGCTTGCGGGCCGGCACCTCGGGGGTGATCCACGCGGCCGTCTGGCGGCCGGGCCAGCCAGCACGCGAGGGGGGCTCGGAGTTGTTCCGGCGCAGGGTCGGCCGATCGGCCACCCGACCACCGGCCAGGCAATAGGCATTGTCATCCACCAGGTGCCCCGCGCCAAGGAGACCATCCGGCGAGACCGGGCGCGACCGGCTGCTTGGCGCACCTGGGCGCCCGCCCGGGCCCGGGGACTGCCCCTGCTGCGGCTGCGACAGCGGCCGCGACTGCGACTGCTGCCTCGGCAGGCAGTGGGGCTCGGCAATGCCGACGGATGCACACCGGGAGGAGGCCTCGCTGGAGGAGATCCAGTCAAGCAGCTCCGCCGAGGAGACGCGCGACGGGGTGGCGGCAGGGCTGGCCACCATGCCCGAGGTGTTGTCCCCCTGCTCGGATGCCAGCGGGCACGGGCTGGACAGGTCCGATGCCAGGTCCTCCCCCCCGTCGGACAGCGGGTGCGTGGCCAGGAGTTCGCCTGCATGGGTGCCGGCGGCAGGGTCGGCCACCTGGCGCCAGTCCTCGTCGTCCTCCTCCTCCTCCTCATCGTCGCCGCTCTCCGGGTCGTCGTCGTGGTGGCGGGTGGCGGCCGCGCCCGCGAGGCCCGCCGGTGGAGACCGAAGGACGTGCCGGGTGGCAACAATGGCCGCGGCAGCGGCGGCCGCGGCGGCGACCGCCGGGTCGCCGCCGCTGCTGTGAACGCGCGCCATGGCGGCCGGCGGCCCTGAGGCGGGCGTCGTCCCGGCGCCGGCCGGCCCGGCCCCGAGCGATCGCGACCGGGTCCAGCCCAATTTCCCGGCGATGGCCGGGTCGCCCGCCGCGTCCAGCTCCTGGACCGTGTCCCAGCTGGCGAGCTCGTCGCCGGAGGAAGCCCCCGACCCGGAGCCGCTGCTACACTCGCTGGCCAGGGACTCGACCATCAGGGCCAGGGACTCGTCGGTGGCCGTCGACAGGAGCAGCGCCCCGGCGAACCCCTCGGTACCGGGGGGGGAGCCACCACTGTCGATGCGGTCCGCCGCACCGGCGTCCTCCGGCGAAGGGAGGCGCCCTGGCTCCGGGCTAGAGGAGGGAATGGAGTCGGGCGTGTCTGTGGGCCATGCCGGTGTGTCGTAGCCAGCCAGGCAAGCCGGAAAAGCGACAGTGGCCAGCATCGGGCACCGCGAGGCATTGATACAGAACGCGGACAGGACACACATGGAGTGAGAACAGCTGCATGTCGCGTATCACCATGAAATGCCCGCAGAGACATGTTTGTGTGTGTGTGTGTGTCTGCTGACAGTAGCGGATGGGCATGCGCGTGGCCCCCGGAAAAAGGCACCACCGAGCGATGATGCGCCAGTGCGGGTGCGCGGGACATTCGCGCCAGGCTGAGGGGCCCCTTTTCTCCGGTCCCCCATTTCTTCCTCCGCCCCCCCCCCCCCCCCCTCCACCCCCGCGGTGCCGCGGCGAGCCTGTGCGCGTACCGTTTCGTGTAAAGCGCCGAGCTGCCGTCATGAGGCACCTTTCCGTGGGCACGATCATGGCAGCAGCCTTGCCCGACTGCAGCAGCACGGCACTCGGCGGGGGGCAGCTGTCCTCCGGGGAGAAGAGCATGCCGCGGGCGGTGTCGGCCTCGCGGCCGACACTCGTCGGGGCTGGCGGCAGCATGGCTGAGATGGCAGCGGCGGCAGCCACGGGCAGACCGTCTGGGAGACCACCTCTCAGCGCTGGCAGTGAGGCACGCTGGGCGTCGGCGAGGGGCTGGACAGCTCCGCCCTCCAGATCATACCAATCCGGCGGACAAACCAGACAGGTATTCGGGGACAGAGGGAGCTGGTCCTCCGGGTGCTTGAGAGCGGCTGCGAGGCTGGCCAGCTGCTCGAGGAACTGGGCGCGGTCGTCCGGCAAGCGGTCGCCTGTGTCGGCGGGTGTTCCCCGTGGCGCATGCGCGTGTGTGCGTGTGTGCGTGCGTGCGTGCGTGCGTGCGTGCGTGTGTGTGTGTGTCAGTAGCGGCCACATCCGCGGTCTTGTGTGCATGCGTGTGTGTGTGTGTGTGGGTGGGCGGGCGCGTGTGAACTCGGCCGGCTAGGGCGGTCGATCTTGCTCCTTGCGCCAGATCGCGCTCCTCGCGCGCCTCATGCTACACTCTCGTACTGCGCCCTCCCCCCTCCCCCCCCCCCCCCCCCCCCCCCGCCCCCCCCCCCCCCCCCCCCCCCCCCCTGCCACATTCACCGACACACGGCCGTCGTGTGAGTGAGATTTCTCGCGGCCGTTCACCGCCGCGCGCACATACCCGGCGCACACACGCTGTCCGCCCGTGGGAGAACCACGGAGGTCGGCCGGAAATCCACGCCCCAGCCGGCGCCGTGGTCGGTGCCCTAGCCACGGCTAAGATCTCTCCGGGGTCGCGAAAAATGCCAAATAGAACCTGGCCGACGC